AGAGAGAGAGAGAGAGAGAGAGATAAACACGATCTGATTGGTCGAGGGGTGGGTCTAAAGTTGAACCCTGTCCACTGATTGGTCGAAAGATAGTTGATGGAAAGTTTCAGAGCCTAACAGATTTTCTTTGACAGGTTCAATTAGACAGGATGTCACGAACCTTGACAGGATGTAACAGACAGATGGCATGTGTTGATATGTACCGAAAACGGGAAGTTGTGGTCACCAGAATATTCTTGAAGGTATCTGATGAAATCGAGGGGAAAAACACTGGCTAGGGTTACTATGTCAAAGGTTATTACAAGTCAAAGGTTACTATAAGTCAGGGTTGAGAGTGAAGGGGGGTGAAGGGGGGTTAGGGTTACTGGAAGTCAAGGGGGAGGAGGGAGGGGGGTTACTTACGGTCAATCAAAAGAGGAAGGAAGTCACCGGAAGTTGACCATATATGGACATGACGGATGTCCCGCCCTAGGGGCGTGGCACCTGTCACTTGATTGATAGTTATGTATAATTTCTCTAACCAGTTCAGATGTGAAGTCAGGAACTAAACAACTCAAGACACAGACAGCACACTGTGAGGTAGTTCACACCTTTCACTTTGTATCCATTTGTGGGCAATTCACTTGCAAGTGGTCTGCTCTGACTTGTAATGTTCGCACCTTGCGGTAAATGTAGTCCCCAAAATATTTTTTGTGATCGAGTGTCAATTACCTGCACTGTATGTAGCCACGTCACACAGAGGGCTGTCAGTGAGCAACAGAGTTGTAAAGTAACTAAGTACAAAAACTTTATTACTGTACTGAAGTAGAATTTTTGAGTATCTGTACTTGAGTAATTATTTTTCAGAATACTTTTTTACTTTTACTCATTACATTTTTACTCAATTATCTATACTTTCTACTCACTACATTTTTAAAAAAGTTAAGAAGTAGAAAGTTGTTACTCCTATTTTATTCCAAGTTGTTATTACTTAAAAAAATACTATCCTGATAAATTGTGTCTCCTGGATAGAGTGAATTTAAATGTGGTTGGATGAGAATTATAAATATATACCATTCTGACACCCTATTAGCTTGTACACAACCTACAGCTGCACGCCTTTAGAAAAAAAAATATTTGGAGAAGTCACCTCCCAATAAATGTCATTTTGGAAAATCTAACGGCTCACTTTTACTCAGTACTTTTACTTTTAATACTCAAGTTGATTTTGTGTCAGAAATTTACTTTTGATACTTAAGTACAAAAATATCTTATACTTTAAGACTTTTACTCAAGTAATATTTTTAGAGAATACTTTAACTTTTACCAAAGTGTTTTTATGTAAAGATACTTGTACTTTTACTGAAGTTTCACTTTGAGGTACTTTATACAACACTGCCTGCAAACATGCAGTTGCTCAGGACTGAATTTAGTGAAAAGTCAGAACAGCCTCAGTGTGTTTGAAATTGCAATTCAGTAAAAAATAAAAAAAGGAGTACTCATCAGATTTTAAAAAATGTAAAAAAAAGGCAAAACTCCAAACTGACTGTTGTTGAGAACAAGAAATCTATCTATCTAAACTTATTTTATTTTTTACAAAGTCTTTCTCAGAGCATGTTTTCTGACCGAGATGATTTTATGCCCGATTTTATCGTTCAAGAATAAAAACAAATCCAGTGGACAGAATGCATTACAATGAGTTGCATTTGAACAAGGGTTATTTCTAACAATGTGTAAAATTGATTCTATACTTTTACAGCAGGAAGTGGACGCTGCCCAAAGACTGATCTTCCTCCATAGTTTTTCGTCCAGTTGCTTTAGGCTTTTTGGTTAAATATTGGCAGCATGCTGATAATCTCAGTAAAAGAATCCATCTCCTCGTCTGAGACCGAGTCACTGCAGAGGAGCTTAAGCCGTAAATTATCCATCAAAATGACACATCTCCTCCTAGATTTAATTTCCTTAAAACCACTGCATAAAGTGAGGAGATGTGGGACGATTCGGAGAAGTTCTTTTCTGCACAGAGTGACAGCCATTTAGATTTAACAAATGAGGTTTGGCAGGAAGCACATAAACCTGTAAACTTCAGCAAAGATGGTCTTTTTCAATCAGAAGTTGTAAGATGGAGTGTTTCATTCAAGGATGGCTCTTTCCTCTGACGTACAAAGATGAGCTTTTTTTCTTTTTTTTCTGTTTTACATCTAAATCAAGAAAAAACACCAGGAAATGCAGCTAAATTTCAGGGTAAAGCTTTTCGTTTGAGCCCAGTGAGTTCTTTAAAAAGTGTCTACATGTTTCATGCTGAAGCGTCAAAGTCATGAGCGCTACCAAGGTGACATTTTTATTGGCTTAGCAGGAGACCCAAAAGTCTTTTTTACACTGTGTTGTCCACCTGCATCCATTTTCTCACTGTTCTTCTAGGCACACAAGAACAAGACGTGGGCAGAAGTGTAGAATTGATCCTTGTAAAACCACAAAGCAACCATTAATCACAATAACTGTGCAGGATGTAAACTACACAAACTAAGAACTCTAAGTCAGTAAGTGGAGACAGTTATTAATAAGAATTTTTGATGAACAATAAAATTAACCCCTCACAGATCTCACTATAAGCTGTTGCTTATGTTAAACTTTTGTGTTCTTATCTCAAACAAGGAATAAACTTAATGATCGGACCTCTAGAATGAATGATTTGGTGAGTTTCAGTAACATATGGCTGCCTCATAAGATTAACTGCTGCATGGCCCTGAAGCAACTCTGCAGAAATTAACAACACCCTGTGGAATGAACAGTAATTAATGGCCTTCTTCATACATGTCTCTGTGTTTAGAATCAATTAGGTTGACTTTAGAGGACACAACTTATTAAGCATGTGTTGCAAAATAATGTTTATGCAAATGAAGGCGAAGCCTTGCGCGATGACCCTGGTGCGATTTCAAAGACGAGCCTAAATGTCGAACACCCTCCCGACTAAACTCTGTGTCATTGACCTAGAAATTTGTATTCCTTTCTCATTTGTTAACATTCTTTAGTTCAGTAAGGCTGAAAATATGGGGCGCCAAGTGTAAAATTAAATGTTAAAAATTATACAAATATATTTTTTCATTATTTAGCTCACTTTTTCCAATAACATTTTTTGTTGTTAGCTCAATGTTCTTACATTTAGCTATTTTTTTCAACTAAATTTTAAATTTAAATGTTAAAAAATGTTTAAATATTAAATCCTAAATCTAAATGTTTAAATGTAAAAGTTAAACCTTGAATGTTAAAGTTATCATTTAGGTATTTTGGAATGGAACGCAGCCTTTGATGTTGGTGCTCAGCTCATGTTATGATGTCATCATCCTGAGACAATAGCAACCGCTAGCGGTCCAATGCAGCTAAAGCTTCCCTACAAGACATCAAACTAACAGTTATGGCTGGTGTCTGAGCTGCACTTTAAACTGCTGGACCACAGGTACCACACACATTTTGTATTTAGATTTTAAATATTATTTGTTAGAAGCGTTGGCACAAGTTAACAACAGATAACCAGGATGATGTCATCTTCCTGCAACAAACATCAACAATGGCCAATGAATGTTTCTTGAGCTTGTTTCTGAGTCAGAGTTTCTTTGCCTGAATGAAGACTTTTCAATTTTTGCTTTATCTTTAAATTTAGTTTGAAAGACGTCACACTAAATGCTTTGCAGAAAATAAAGCCTTCACTGCTCACAACAAAAGAGTTAAGAAGCAAAAATGGGTAAATTTCCTCAGCCGAGAAAACAATTAGTTGACATCAGTAAAAAGGCAAGACAGTCATTTTCTGTTTCTGTGATAGTAAGCACATCTGCCAGGAGGCCTACTGTCAACGTCTCCTCGTGCCAATAGGAAGTAGAGCAACCAAACATGTTAATTATTTATCAGGCAGCAACTGCAGACTACAGAAAATGCAAAAGGAGGGGAATTTGTTTGAACTCAAAGAAAGAGCAAATGGACTTATTCTGCTGACCTAAGAAAACTTCTACTCTAAAGACCTGTAATCTGTTCATTAAAAATACATGACTGTTACTGATGGTCAGGAAACCAAAACTTTTTCTTGGCTTAGAATTAAAATAGGAAATAAAAACAACAAAATATCTGCACAAAATTCAAAAAACTAATTCCACAAAATTTGAATCAGCGTCAAGTAAAGTTCTTACCTGTGAGGTTTTCTCTGAGCTGCCAACAGCATAGCAGATCACTGAGGAAAAAGAAAAAAAAACAGAACTGTGATTATTTTAGGTTAATGTTCAAATATATAAAGAAATTTCAGAGTCATTGTTGGTCCACCTTCCATCCATCATCTCTTGTAATTAGAGCCCAGAGGACATGTAACTAATTATGTTGCTGTTGATTCTGAGAATGGAAAATCTTTACAGAGTGAATTTAAATCAATAAATCAAAAGGACTCCCAGGCTTCCCGGGAAATTAATTAATAATATTAATAAATGTAATCTCTTGACTCGTTGCAGCAGCCTCGGAGAGAAGCTGAGTGAGGATTTTTTTTACCTTCCACACAGCAGATATTTTCTTTGTCAAAAAGACCACCTAACACTTTTACAAAGATCAATATAACTGATGATATTGTTCAGTCTTCGTGGCGTTTTACATGACCGAGTTTTGGTTAGATTATTCCACCCACTGAAAACAAGCCCTGTCTCTTTAAACTGAGTGAAATTTAAAACACGCCTGAGTTCAAAAACTGGAATTAAGCCATTAGCTCAGAACAAATGAACGTTGTAATGCATTTAATTATTTTACCCACAAAAGCACAAAGAATCAGCGTTGGTTGCAGGCCATCTTGTAACAAGTCCAAGTCTGCCAACCAAGCTAAAGGATGTTATTTTTACCGTTTGTTTGCTAAAATTAAGAAATATAAGGACATAATTTAATGAACAAATTTGATGTTTCCACATGAAACCTTATTTGTGATGCTTACTAATAATATTTTATTGACTTCACAGATTTTCTACACAAGACAATAGATTGTAAAAGTTTCTGAAGATTTATATTCTCACCCACCCCTTGTACCCATTTGGGATGAAACTGTACTTTTCTGGACTGAGATGTCATGTTTCTCCAGGTATCTGCTGGAGCCCTGAGCTCTTGGTATTTCTCCAGTGTCTCGTGTTCCTTTTTCCTGATGTTTCCATCATTGGGGATGGCCACAACAATCACAACGACTGTCCTCTGCTGCTTATCAATGATCAAAACGTCCAGCTGGTTGGCCATTACCACCTTGTCTGTTTGAATCTGGAAGTCCCACAGGATCTTAGCTTGATCATTCTCCACCACGTTGGGAGCTGATTCCCACTTTGACCTATTCATGCTTTGCACAGATGTTTCTGTACACCATACCAACTACTAGTTATGGTATTTCATGTATTCCTTTTCTGCTAGTATCTTACACCCTGCTGTGAGATGTTGGATTGTTTCTGGGGATTCTTTGCACAGCCTGAACCTAGTAGCCTGGTAAAAACCAGACCCTTGTACTTCACTTTGCTTCGTACTAGGGTCTGGACTCGCTGCCATAGAGAAGTGATTCTTGCTGGAGGCGTGGCCTCTGCTGAAGCGTGTGTGTGTAAATGTCGCTGTGAAGGAGGCTAAGCTAAGAAGCTAACCGGAAATCGCGTGTGCTGTAAACAACCCTACTGAGAGGAGAGAAGTACTGAGCCGAATGAGACGACTGTTAACTAGAGCTGCTGCTTTGTCTTCCTTTTCTGATAGGCCCGGCTAAAAATCTGTCTTCTTCTGTCTTTCAGTTCTGCCCTCTGCAGTAACCGGTAGGATTGGGTCATATCAGCCACTTCACTATCCATTGGTGGTATATCCCACACAGAGACTTTGCCTCCCATGGTGGTTCCTTTAGCTCCTTCTCTTCTAGTTTCCATTGTCTGAGACATTCACTGAGCATTTTGTCTCCTGGGGCCACCTTCCTGATGTTTTCATGGAGCTTAGATATTTCATCTTAGATGGTGGCTCTGATGCTAACTAGGCCTCTTCCTCCTTCTGTGCGCTTAAGTGTATCGCTTGTGGATACTGGATTTGGGGGTAGAATCCACCATGCATGGTGAGTAGCTTTCATATTTTAACATCAATGGTCTGAATTTCCTCCTTTGGCCCACTTATTATCCCAGCAGGGTATCTGAGTACCGGCAAGGCATAGCTGTTGATTGCCTGGACCTTCTTTTTGCCATTGAGCTGACTTTTCAGAGCTTGCTTTACTCAGTGCAGCTATTTGGCTGTTGCTGCTTTCCTTGTGGCCTCTTCGTGGCTGCCATTTGCCTGTGGTATTCCAAGGTGGTACTTAAGGCTCTTCTTAACAACTGCTGTTCTCCTTTCTGAGAGTCCATTTCCCTTCGTGTGGATTACCTTCCCTCTCATGCACCCACATTTCTCCAGCCCAGATGACATTCTGATATAAAACATAACAGTAACACAATGACTTACTAAATGTAGACAATAATGTGATTTTATGTAATTTCTTACATCACATAAAAACAATATGGATGTTGCTTTGCTTTGTTAGGTTGTTGAGAAGAAATAAAGCACTGAGTTTGGTTGGGAGTAAATTATACTATAATCTGAGTATTGAGCAGCCAATACTTTCATTAAGCTAGGATTATCAGAAACTAAAGTTTACATGGATTCAAATTGTGCTTTTAAGTGTTTAACTTTGTAAAAAGCGTTTAATCCAGCTGCACTGGTACAAGTGACATAAAATAAGAAAAATGACTGCAGGATAATTTCAGTGAGCTCAAAACCTGTAATTAGGCATTTACTGTATGTGATAATTGTGACAGTTCTGTTTTTTAATTAGATCACATCTTGCTAGTTTATTTCAACTTTACAACGGGCTCTGAAACTTTAAAATGAAGCAAAAAAAAAAAACACTGTTCATGTTGTTTTTTTGCTAGGTTAAAAATTGTCTATCCAATGCATAGGATAATGCAATACTTACTTGCCTAATGACTAATTTTACAGCTTATGCTCACTTAAAACCCACATTGTGAGGGCTGGGACCACTGATACACTGGGAATAGGCTAAATAACTGTAAAAATTTGCAACTAAATTTCCCCAAAGTGGCTGCCAAATTTCCCTCTTTGCTAATCTTAATCTGGTTTAGGTCCAACACAAACACTTATACAGTATTATGTCTATAAATGTGCGTAATCTACACAAACAAAAAAATAAGCCTGAGCAAATCTTGATCTTTGTTACAGTGAATGAATGGAGGGATGACATTGTCATGCAGCATCCCGGTTTCTGCTGTTATTAAAAATGCAACATTTTGGGTGAAACGAAGCTCCCTACAGGAATACATTCACATTCACAGTACATTCTGCTACATCTGCTCAAACTTCCAGTCTTTTCATGGCTCACCCCAGAGAGGAGGAGGGGGAGTAACTCCCCACACAATGCTGAGTGCTGATGGGAGCACCTCCATCTCATCGCCTCCTCATCCTGCATAATCAGGTCTGTTGTTTCCAACCATGTTTTCGATTGAGCCACACAGAGGGGAACTCGCTCACTTTCATTTCAGAAAATCTGAAAATCGCTTTGGATGATGAAAGCCCCGGATTGTTGCATGGTGTGCTTTTTCAAAATTTGCTCAGTTTTCATTGCTACTGTAATAAAAAGCAGATGTCCGGTGAAATTAACCAGGAGGGAAACGAGGTTCAAAACAACAGGGAGGGAAATCAAGTAAAGTGTATACCATTACCTTGCATTTTTCATTGCACAGATTTGCACATTTCAAACCTGAAGTACATGAAAGTTATTAAAATCAAAGCTCAACACCTCAATGGTCCTATAATATTGCAGTGAAGAAAACCTTTGAAAATTTAATATTAATATTTATCTTTGTCTGCAAATTGTATTATTTAATCAGCAAGAGAAAACAATGTCAGGTGACGTAAATGTTATATAGTAGTGCTGATTTTTTAGTGTTATAGAGGGATAGAAAGTACCATAAATGTGACAGAAACCTTTCTTTTTCACACAATAGCAATGGGTGTCACTGTCACAAAGAAACATGTCTCTTCCCATAGTTTTCCTCTAAAATGTGTTGCTTTAGGCTGAGTCACACTACAAGATTTTAAACCAGTTGGCCGATTTTCAAAGACTGAGAGCCCACACGTGAGGATAAAAAATGATGGATATGCCAGGTTTGGTCCTACAGTGTGTGATGTACAGCCACACGGCAAGAGACAATACACCACACACGAAAAGATATTGCATTCATGAACAGTCAGATGCTGTCGGATATTAAATCACGCGAGACTTCCTGAAATCTCGCAAGAATTCAGATGTCCGAGGAAAAATCTCACGTGACCTCCAGAGAGACGTGAGTTCAGAGTAAATAAACGTTTGCGACGAGGAAGAAACAATGTTTATCGTTTGTGGACTATTTTTTACCAGAGGAAAAACAATTCCATAGGACTTTTAACATCCAGCAGACTTTCTGCTGAGTCATTACAGTATTTTGTCTTCTGTATTTGGAATACCATCCGTGTTTACATCACCTCGCTTTCTGATTGGCTACACTGTGACGTTCACAGTTCAGGTGAACTTCACACACACTGTGATATCGGGCCAAAAAAGTCTAACATGTTGAGTATCCCCGATTTGAGGTCGGAGCAGTCCCGACGTCCTTCCGAGCTGACTAGATCACTCTTAACTCACCACCCACGGCAGGAATATCTGCTATGATTATCTTTAGAGCCATCATGATAATCTGGACTTCTTTAAGATTGTCGGAAGGGCAAAAATCGGCCTGATTTTCTTGTAGTGTGACACCGGCCTTAGCTGCTCTACTTTTAAATGTCAGCTGGTTGAACACCATACACTCAGCTGGGTGTTGTGATATTAAAATGATATTAAAATTAGTGATATTGAATGCAGCTACTCTGACACTAATCAATGAAAGGTGTCTGCAGCTTGGTCAGTACTCTGAAACTTTGATTGAAACGATCAAATCATCCCATGTGTGTTTCTTTTTTTTCGTATTTTTTTAATTGGTCAGTAATCTCGTGCACATTTCATTTTCTCCAGTTTTTAATTAAGCACAAAGGAACAAGAAGGAGGGGCAAATGCTTTGAAGTTGCTAAATCATACAAACAAATGTGGGTGTGCTGGTTTATAGTGACTCTTATGGAAATTTGTAGAAAGATTGCACGATTAATGAGCTCTTATCCATA